CCCAAATTCCAAAATTCCTAATTCCAAAATTTCCTAATCCCAAAATTTCCAAATTCCAAAATTCCTAGTTCCAAAATTTCCAAATTCCAAAATTTCCAAAGCCCCAAATTCCCTAGTTTCAAAATTTCCAAATCCCAAAATTCCTAGTTCCAAAATTTCCAAATCCCAAAATTATCTAGTTCCAAAATTTCCAAATTCCCAAATTCCCCAGTTCCAAAGTTTCCAAATCCCAAAATTTCTAAATTCCAAAATTCCTAGTTCCAAAATTTTCAAAGTTCCAAATTCCCTAGTTCCAAAATTTCCAAATCCCTAAATTCCCTAGTTCCAAAATTTCCAAATTCCTAGATTTCCAAATCCCCAAATTCCCTAGTTCCAAAATTCCCAAATTCCAAAATTCCTAATTCCAAAATTTCCTAATCCCAAAATTCCCAAATTCCTAGAATTCCAAATCCCAAAATTCCCTACATCCCAAGTGCCTAAATATCAAAATTCCCTAGACCCAAATTTCCAAATCCCAAAATTAATTCCAGAATTCACTTCAAAGACAAATAGTCACCCATCTTAAAATTTCCTAAAAAAATATTATGACCACACTCGGCAAAATTCTACACAGTAAAAGTATAAATGCAGAGTTCACGAACAGTTCAGTGGTGTCCTCGGGAAGATGGGTGGGCACCTTCGTCAAAGAATTCTCCCTGCAGTCAACGATACCATCTGCACATCTGCAAGGATGCGGGCACTGTGGCTCCGCGCTGCACTCTGATCCCGCCCGCTGAACCGGCCCGGAACACTTGAATTCGTGTTCCTGTGTGCAAAAAAACAGACCATGAAATTATCAGAGAAAGAGATGGGTTTTAAACACTACAAAGAGATAATTAACCCCTCACAATGGTCGTGGAATTCACATCCCTCTCGAAGGGATCAAAGGATACTTTCATCGTGTTAGTTCTACAAACTCGTACTCATACTAGTGTTATTCATACCTTAATATTTTTAGATATGATATGATTATTTTATTTAGAAAATTTCTTGTAGATTTTCGTGAAGTCTTGTGTTTAATATGGTGGTTTATTTTTGAGGTCTATTGAATATTGTGTTTAGAAGATGAAGTTCGAAATGCAAGTCTTGTATATTTTAATTTTGGAACATTTCAGAAGGTATTTATTTAAAATTAAAATATTATAACAAGGTGAATTATATCAACAAGCTTAAAAAATTGCAAAGTAGTTTGTGAAACTTGATATTTACAGAAATATCACAGTCAAGGTTTCTGAAATTGTTCATCTAATAAGTACTTTATTTTCTTCATAATTTGTTGTACATTACATAAAAAATTGGACTAGTAGATTTAGTAAAAGCCTGACATGTAATTGTACGTTGACAATTTTATTAAGTGACCACGTGTTTAATAAGCAACCCTCCAAAGTACAAAAATAATCAATTTAGAAAATTTTAATAAGCAACCACGTGTTTAACAAGCAACCCTCCAAAGTACAAAAATAATTAATTTAGAAAATTTTAATAAGCAACCACGTGTTCAACAAGCAACACTCTAAAGTACAAAAATAATCAATTTTAAAAATTTTAATAAGCAACCACGTGTTTAATAACCAACCCTCCAAAACACAAAAATACTAAATTTTGAAAAAGACATCAAACCTCCAAGTCAGCGATGTTTCGATCCTTCAGATGAATAGGTGATGCACAACGCGTATGCTGTCCCAACCGAGGGTACGTCTTCAAGTGTCTCGACAGCCAAGCCAAATGACAATCACAAGAGAGTGCGTTGTCCACAAGCTTCAGTGTCTTCAAATGCGACATGCCATTCAGCATCTCTTTGCCCAGCGTCGTTAACCTGTTGTTATTTAACATCCTGCAACAAAGTAATAGCAAATTACACTTTTAAATGTGTGAAAATTAATCGATCTTGCTTACAGTATTTCTAGGTCCTTCAGCTCCCTGATGGATGCCTCGTCGATGCAGGTCAGCAGGTTGTTGTCTAGGGACCTGGAAATAATTTATTATTTTGTTATTATTTATAATAATGTGAAGAATTTATAAAAGTAAGAGAGACTTACAGGAACTTCAAGGATGAAATTCCTCTGAGGGTCTTGGGGCCAATGGTGGAGATCTGGTTGTGGCTCAGGTCCCTGAAACAGAAAGAATTCAGAAGTTTTCAGGGAGTTCAATTACAAAACATAGTCCTATCAAAATAACAGAACATTCTTTTTATTTAAAAAGTTCCATTATTTTTCTGACATACTGGAAATATAAATGTAAGTATAAACGTAAGTGTCAGAAAGTTGTAACAATCAAAGTTAGACCATTACAGTCAAACACCTCGACAATCAAACGAATTAGCAACAATTTAAAGGGTTCTCGATTCGCTATGCAAACAACGGAACAGTCGGGTCGCATTACGCTATCAAGTGCAACGATCGAAGTTGGAATCGATCAAAGATGATTGGTTCAATTGCATAGAATCGAAGATGGAGCTCGGTGCGTCGACCTTTCGAAGTTTCTTCGTTCCGCGAGTTAAAGGTCGATTGTGCAATGGGTAACAGCACCGGTGTGTGTTCCACTTTGTTACAGTTGTTCTCAAGTTCGTCCTACATACTCGATAAATAATTGATACGATTGTCAATTGTCGTCGTACTTCTCGGAACTATCCTCCCCTCGCATTCTTTGTGGGTCTCACGTGTGACCGTGTGCACGTGTACGGTCACGTGACGGCGGAATTCTTTGAGGTACGGGTCGTTACACGAGTATTCATTTCACACTTTTCTTTCTTGAAAAATTATTGTATACATTTGTTACAAATAGTATAGAAAAGTCTGTTAAAAATTCTATTTGCAACGTGTCATTTAAAGACGTGTCAACAAAAGTGTCAACAAAAATATTAGTTTAGAGTATCAATATTGTTTGACCATTATAGTAGACAAATTTATAATATTAATTTATTTGTGATACTAACAAAATTGTTGACTTATAGTGCAAATGAAAATTTTAACAATGTATTGAAATTATATTACATGTAGTTATACATCATTGTACACACATGTAATTATACATCATTGTACATACATGTAATTATACATAGCTGTACACACATGTCATTATACATCAATGTACATACATGTAATTATACATTGTTGTATACACATGTCATTATACGTCGTTGTTCATATGTGTAATTATACATCGTTGTGCACACATGTCATTATACATCATTGTACATACATGTAATTATACATTGTTGTACATACATGTCATTATACATCAATGTACATACATGTAATTATACACTGTTGTACACACATGTCATTATACATCAATGTACATACATGTAATAATACATCGTTGTACACACATGTCATTATACATCAATGTACATACATGTAATAATACATCGTTGTACACACATGTCATTATACATCAATGTACATACATGTAATAATACATCGTTGTACACACATGTCATTATACATCAATGTACATACATGTAATAATACATCGTTGTACACACATGTCATTATACATCAATGTACATACATGTAATAATACATCGTTGTACACACATGTCATTATACATCAATGTACATACATGTAATTATACATCGTTGTACACACATGGCATTATACATCAATGTACACACATGTAATTATACATCAGTGTACACACATGTCATTATACATCAATGTACATACATGTAATAATACATCGTTGTACACACATGTCATTATACATCAATGTATATACATGTAATTATACATAGTTGTACACACATGTCATCACACATCATTGTCCATACATGTAATTATACATCAAACTAGTATAATATGCACTTGCATTATAGTTCATACATAATTGCATTACATAACAGGTATTACATAAAACCCGTTCTCACGTTAGAAACCGAATCAAATGTGACCGAAGGTACACCGCCATAATTCGCCCTAAACATTTGGCATGACTAATGCTCGATGTTTTCCGAAACGCACCGTCCTCTTAACGGTACAGTCAATCACGATAATGGAAGGCTGGCTGTAGCGGAGGTTCATTTAAATAGATTGCGTTACGTCTCGCGTTGCAAGATCCACGAAACGTATCTCGGGACTTAAACAGACGTTTGCGATGATAGGTTAGAGGTCTCGGTGGCCGGTTCACCGTTGACCATCTATTGGCTCGGGTACCCGTTGCAAGCCTGTAATTATGTCCGCCAGAGAGACCACGGCTCGGAGAATATCCCGAGACGAGACTAACGGAAGAAACAAAAATACGAAATAGAGAGGCGCCGCGGGAGGGAAGAGGGAGGACGAGATTGAGGAGAAACGAACCGTGATGGTGTTCCGCTGTTGGAGGAGCGTGGACGTAAGGCAACAACTGGCGGATTTAGACTCCTGCTCGGGGGCCAATCCTGGAAGCAATTACCGAAATTTCCGGATACGTTGCTCAACGAATTTTGGGGGTAATGCTTAGAATTTCGGATGAGATTCGCGTTTGGATGAGGTATTTTAGATTTAATGGAGATTTGGGGCTTTTGGGGTGGAAATTTGAGGTTATTGGATTTGGGATGGGAAGTTAGGGATTTGGGGAGTTGGGGAGCTGGGAATTTAGGGAGATAGGGAATTAAGGAGATGGGAAATTAGGGAGATGGGAAATTAGGGAGATAGGGAATTAGGGAGATAGGAAATTAGGGAGATAGGGAGTTAGGGAAGTGGGGATTTGGGGAGCTGGGAATTAGGGAGATGGGAAATTAGGGAGATGGGGGATTAGGGAGATAGGGAATTAGGTAGATGAGAAATTAGGGAGACGGGGAATTAGGGAAATGGGGGATTAGGGAGATATGGAATTAGGGAGATATGGAATTAGAGAGATGGGAAATTAGGAAGATGGGCAATTAGAGAGATGGGGGATTAGGGAGATAGGGAATTAGGGAGATTGGGAATTAGGGAAATGGGGGATTAGGGAGATATGGAATTAGGGAGATGGGAAATTAGGGAGATAGGGAATTAGGAAGATGGGAAATTAGAGAGATGGGGGATTAGGGAGATAGGGAATTAGGGAGATGGGAAATTAGGGAGATGGGGGATTAGGGAGATAGGCAATTAGGGAGCAATGGAATTAGGAGGACAGGGAATTAGAGAATTAGAAAATTAGCGAGTTAGGGAATTAGGGAATCATGGAACTGAAGATTTAGGGATTTGTTATCATACTTACATTAAAAAATGTATAACCATCCAAACATACTAGCATTAAAAAATGTACAAGTACCAAATAATTCCTCCACTAATTTCTCCCCAAAATCTTCATCCATAATTCCCTCTAAACATTTGCCATGAATAAGATATGCTTCCTATGATACAATAAAAGAAGAATCTAATTTGGTCATCACACAATAGCTACTAAATTAACTTTTTTCTCCCCGAAATAATGTGACGTGTCGAGGCAGTACACGAAGTGGATTCGGTAGAATTTCAATAATTTCTAGCCACCGGTGAGAGCGGTAGATTAAACTCCCACCGCGCACCAGCCAATCCAGAAAGCAATTACCGAATTTCGACGTAGCCGCTCCTTCACAGGAACTAACAAAAGGACCTCCTGGACCTTGTCTGTCTTTCTCTCTCGCTGCTGGGGTCTATCGTGCTCGATTCCGAATGTTGCTCTGCCAATGTGCTTTGTGTTCGCGCGATAAGAGTCGGGTGAAACGAAGCTAGATTGATAGCAGTGGGATTATAAGAGTCTGTATGTTCCTATATCGGTGGTTCTATGTTTCTATACTCTTATTTTGATTTATTTGTTCAAATAGTGTTAGGAGAATTTTATGTGATTTTTTAAATAGGAGAGTAGTGATGGGTTTAAGTGGTACAAGAGAATTTTTGATGAACAAGAGTATTTTTAATATATTAAATAAAAGTATCTTTAATATGTACAATAAGTATATTTTATGAATATTGTTGGGAAAAAATGAATGATTTTTTTGAATGGTGAAGAAATGTGGTATAAAATATAAATAATATATAGAAGTATTTTTAAGAAATAATAACAAAATATTTTTAATAAATGAAAGTACCTTTAATAAATAATAGAAGAGTATTTTTAATAAATAAATGATAAGAGTAATCTTTAATATAAAAAAAATATATTTCACAAATATAATTAAAAATAAAATTGATGATTATGTAAATGGAGAAGAAACGAGGTAGAAAGAACAAATAGTATAGAGAATCTTCATTATATGGAAGATGCATATTTCATGCGAAATAATGCAGTACGTAATGTAATAACAGTAATACTACGTTAATTTGCGGTACATTCGTAACATAATCTAGTACGGTATAATCATGCGAGTAATTAGGGAATCTGGGTACCTGTTGTTAATTACAAATTACATGGATGCGTTATTTATGGTTATTTATCGCCAGAAACTAGTCACTAATTACTGCAGCTGACTCGTTGTTGAATATTGTTTAATTGTACATGGTCCATGATGGTCAATTAATTCTGTTTATATCTGTGCTTTTAATTTTGAGAAATGGGAGAAAATTATGGGCGATTGAAATTTGAAGATTTGGGAATTAGGGAATTGGGGAATTAGGGAGATGGGGAATTAGGGAATTGGGGAATTAGGGGATTGGGGAACTAGAGAATTAGGAGATGGGGAATTAGGGAATTGGGGAATTAGGGGATTGGGGAACTAGAGAATTAGGGAATTAGGAAATTGGGGAATTAGGGGGTTAGGAAATTAGGGAATTGGGAAATTAGGGAATTGGGGAATTAGGGACTTGGAAAATTAGGGAATTGGGAAATTAGGGAATTGGGGAATTAGGGACTTGGGAAATTAGGGAATTGGGATATTAAGGAATTGGGAAATTAGGGAATTGGGGATTTGGGGATTTAGGAAATTAGGGATTTGGGGATTTAGGAAATTAGAGAATTGGGGATTTGGGGATTTGGGGATTTGGGAAATTAGGGAATTGGAAAATTAAGGAATTGGGAAATTAGGGAATTGGGGAATTGGGGAATTAGGGAATTGGGAAATTAGGGTATTAGGAAATTAGGGAATTGGGAAATTAGGGATTTAGGAAATTAGGGAATTGGGAAATTAGGAAATTGGGAAATTAGGGAATTCGGAAAATAAGGAATTGGAAAGTTAGGGAATTGGAAGTTTAGAGAATTGGGGAATCAGGAAATTAGGGAATTAGCAAGTTAGGAAATTAGGGAGTCAGGGAATTAGCGAGTCAGGGAATTAGAAAATTAAGAAATAGGAACTCAGGATTTAGGAACTTGAAATTATATAAATTTGAAGAGTTAAAACTACCAATTGAACCAACACAGAAATAATAAGATCCGGATAAATCGCATCGAACAAAGAACCACAAGAACCAATTCGCCAAACAGTTTCGTCTAAATGGACACCCAGTTGTCAAAGAGACGTGCACCGTTTGTCCCGGTTATTATCGAGCTAAGTGTACAGCGAACAAATGTTATTACATCGTAAATACAAGCTTGTACGCTTCAGCACGGGTCCGTGATATCGCGTTTCAAGCGGCACAATATGCTTACACGACGTAGTGATACTAATCAGCCGTGTGTCCGCGCCCCTTTCCATTGTGTCAAACCATTTATTACCGGCGAGTTTCATCCTCTTACCACCTCGAACAGCTTTCTACGTTTGCCACGATGGGTTAATCACACGTTTCGTTGTTGTTCTCTGTTCGAAAGATGGCCTGGGCAACGCGTGCCGCGGACAACGGAGTGATTTAATTAATAATTTGTGGTCCTTAATTGCGGGTTGTGTGTACAACGTGTGGTGTCATGTTGTTAATCAATCTTGGGATAGGTGAGACGGGATTTTGTTCCCTTGTGTTGCTGTCTTTTTAAATTATAGCATTTATACATTTTTTAAATTATAGCATTTTATGGTATGGGAATGATAAATGATATTCGATAGATATTTAAATGTTTAAAGAAGAATTCAAGACGAATTTAAAGATAGGAAAATATGGGAGATGTAGAATGATTAAATGGTTGTGTCACAATATTTATGTATACTCTTGTAACACATACGTGTCTTGTAACAAGTATGTTCATCTCAGAATTTTGTTATTTCCAGTTATTTTCTAGTGCATGATGTTCTATTCACTTGTAGAAAGATGTACGTAGCAAATTTTATGTTGTAACAATTAATTTTTCTGTTGTAAATGCGTAAAGTTTGATAATGCATGTTTGAATCTCCCGCGCGGCGACCGCGAGTGACGCCATGTTGGATTTTTCCCGCGCTTTTCGCTATGCACCTCAATCTTCCTTAATTTCACTCATTTTTTACGTTATACGGCTCAAAATTCTTGTAAATACTTATTGGTATTGTGCGTTGTACCTTTTTTTAGGTTTATACATGTATTTTTTCAGAAAAAATACGAATAATTACTGTAGTAAAGTTACAGTATCGTAAGTATTGTTTGACAATGAATATAATTTAGATACTTCAGAAGATAATTTGAAATAAAAGATTGTACAGAGTGTACCAATAAAAGTATCTTGAATTTTGAATAACATCAAACTTGAAAATAATAATAAAGTAAAATATCTAATGCAAAAACCACTATAGTCATCATAACCTCAAAACTAACATACCAATTCAATTTCTTTCTATCAAACAATACAAAGAATATAATAATACATAAAAAGATATATATTTTAGCAGAACAATAAACGATGAAATGGAGCAGATAATTTCACATAATTCCCACCATGAAAAAGAATAAAAAGATCTTTCACGATGATTCATCGCGAAAGAAGCGTAACCGTATCATCCTGCTTTGAAGGGGCGTATCAAGCAACACCCCCCTTGAAGAGCGTATTAACCTTCTCTGGTTTCCAAGCTGGCCATCGACTTATCCACGCAGGATGAAGGATTATCAGCTCGTACGGCTGTGAGAATCTCGGCGAAGCTCGCAACATAATACATCCTTTTGTAAGCTCGCTGATCCTGCCGTTATCATCAGAAACTGCAGGTTACGAGGCCTTGTGAAACTTTCGAGTCTGGCCACTTCGCGGGATGATAGATGGACCTTCTTCCTTTGTTTCGCTTTTCAACTTCTCTTGAACGCAACTGCATGATTCCAGTTGACTTCGTGTTACTTCCACAAGCAAGTTCTTCTTGATCGATTGATTTATTTATTGATTTATTTATTTATTTTAGGGAAGTAATTATCTAGCTGCATTTGCATGAAGAATGGAAAATGTAAACCAAACCGACATGAAAAATGCACAATGCAGCATTCATGCATGTCGTACAAAATATGTCGCAAGAACCTTTTCACGACAAAAGTATCGAACATAAAAATCCTTGGTAGCATAGAATTTCGCGGCATCATTAAACGTAGATTCGGATCGGACTTCCGAATAATGCGAGACAAGTTTCGAAAAATGGAAACGCGGATAAAAACTGCATCTCCCAAAAGTCTCCTATCAACGCAGCAATTAACAAACACACCGAGTCGCAGCGATCCTGCTCGGAGAATAAATAATAAAAAAGGAAGAATGAAAGAAAGAAAGCTGTTCCATTTATCGAACAATAGCCGTCGACGGTAACATCGTTTCGTGCACAAAAAGAATTCCAAGTCTCTTCCGAAAGTGGGACGTCGACGGTCAATGGATGAAACTTCCGCTCGCTTTTTCTCCCCCTTTCTCCCTGTTTGTTTTTCCTTTTCGTTCGTTTTCGAGGCAGAGAAAACGGGGACTCGAAACGAGAAGCGTACGATCGCCTTAAAAAAAAAAAAAATGGAGAGAATCGAAACCCGAGCGGAAAAGTCACGCGTATTCGATGTTCGCGGCGAGTTTCACGAACAGAACTTCGATACTTCCGGGTGTACACGAGTGCGGTATGTAGGCCATCGTCTGAAAAGTTTATACGATAACCTCCCTGTACGACACTGTACGAGCACTTTCACAGCTATCGGTTACGTATGCATTGTTTCGAACCTCTGACAAGAATTTAAGTTTGCAATAATTAACACCGAACCGATTATGCCGAAATTTCTTTGGTGGTACAGAGTTATTTGGTGTGTTACTCTTTGATGCTGAAGCTAATTGTAGTAGTAAAACACTTAGTGTACTTAGAATTATTATTTAGAAATAGAAAATTAACGTGTTTGTTATGGGACTTGATATCAAGTTTGTGATTGCACCGAACCGACTATGCCGAAATTTCTTTGGCAGAATACAGTTATTCGATGTATTACTCTTTGGTGTTCAAACTGATTGTAGTAGTAAAACACTTATTGTACTTAGAATTATTATTTAGAAACAGAAAATTAACGTGTTTGTTATGGGACTTGATATCAAGTTTGTAAACGCACCGAACCGACTATGCCTACGGAAATTTCTTTGATACAGTAAAGTTATTCGGTGCTACAGCTGATTCCAATAGTAAAACCTTCTCTTTTCATCCTTAGAATGATTACTTTAAAATAAAAAATTACAACTTATGCTTCTTATTGCACTCAATATAAAATTGCACCGAACGACTATGCCGAAATATCTTACACTTCACATTTTCTTCCAATAAAAATTTCAGTGACCTCACTCATACATTTGATAAATTTAATGACCATTTACGTGATGTTCCTGAATTTCCTTAATGGTTTTTGGTTTTCACTCGCAGAAATAGTTTAATGAGTCGAAACGTACCGTTCCGAACGGTACATTTAATTTCTACGAAACTATTGGTTTCAACTGAAGCGCATTTATGTAATTGGATCTGGTAAAAGAAATAACCTTTGAACCTTTCAAAATGATTAGCTATTTTGTTGCTCGTCTGGAGAATATTCTGCTATTACTTTTTCAAGATCTTGTACTTTGCACTTTAATACTATCTAAATTGCTCTTTTTTATTTCAGACTTCAATTCTATTTAACTCACAAAAATTTTAGGTGTTAAAATAATACTTGAAGTGAATAATTTTTGTTGAAACAATTTTCAATTTTTTTAAATAATAATTTTCAATTTTTTTTAATAATAATTTTCAATTATTTTGAATAATAATTTTGATAGTCTTGTAGCTATGCAGGGTGTCTCATAACTCGTGGTGCTCCTGGTAGGAGCGGTAGAGGGGTGGTAGAGAACGCGATTCTAAGCAAGATTTCCCTTTGCAGAAATGGAGTTTGAAGCTTCGTTTTTGAGTTATTAAAGAAAAACACGGACCAATCGGAGCGCGAGGATTCGGCGCCAATCGCGACGCGCAGTCGCGAGAGCGACGCCTTCGTGCATAATGGCCGACTGGGCGTAACCCTCGCGTTCTGATTGGTCCGTGTTTTTTCTTAATAATTCAAAAACGAAGCTTCGCACCTCATTTTCGTAAAGGAAAATCTTATTCAGAATTACGTCCTCTAGCACCCCCTTCCGGGAACACCAGTTATGAGACACCTTGTATATTATTGAGAATAAATGAGGAATAATTTTGTTACTTACAGGCGTTTCAAGTTCATCATGTTGCTGAATAATAGATCTGGAAGATGGCGCAGTTGGTTCTTGTTGAGGCGCAACTTCTCGACACCGACTAAATCATGGAAGGCACCTCTCTCGATGGTGTGAATCTGATTACTCGATAGCCAGCTGCAAAAATTGATATACACATCATTTTCTCTAAAAGACCCACACAAAACGACCAAGTCTGAATGTTATCAATTTTTAATATTCATAAAATTATCTGAAATTTCTATAAACTCTTCTAAATCTACTTTCTACGAAAGTTCACGTTTCAAGCGACACAAAATGGAAGCTTGAAAGCTAAATAACGCAATCTGTAGAGCAAATTGCGTGGGATTTAACTAACTTCGTCCTTTCTTCGAAATAATACCATTCAGTCGAAATTTCGCGAACTTTTCACCCCCGTGGTTTCATTCAATTCAATTCGCGAAACTCGTGCAACTAAAACCACCCCCGTTTTCGCGACCGTCTATTTAACAAACAAATACGTGGATCTACTCACAGAACGTGGAGCGTGGCCATGTCTTCGAAGTCCGTCTTGAATATCACCGAGATATTGTTCCCTTGCAGGTCCCTGCGAACAAACAGTAACAGAAATTAATTTCACCGACGCAGTGGAACGAGTCAATAATATGGTCGTCTATCGGACAAAAATGCAATTTCCCAAGCTTTCGAGGGTTTCATAAAAATCTCGATGTCTCAAGTCGAGGGAAATTGATACGAGTATTGTACAAACGTTGCCGGGATTATTTGACGGTCAAGGAAATCAATTTTTAAGTGTCGGGCAAATAGGGGAAATTTATTTAAGACGTTTCTTATTCTTTTGTATGCTATTTAATATTTAATCATTATTTTTTTTTGTTCAGTTTATACATGTGTGAATGTAACCACATATGTTACACATATGTTTGTTGGTAATAAAATAATTTATTTAAGGGATGAAGTTGTATTGTGTGGATCAATTTTCCTCTTTCATATATGTAACTCTTTTTGGATTGCATATATGTGCTGGTTTAATTATGTTGAACATGAAATAACTTAAACATGTGTGATCTATATGAAACTCCACATATGTTACACTATGTCATTAATAAAATATTTTACTTATGAGATGAAATACATAATGTGTATCAATTTTTCTCATTCACATATGTAATTTTTAAATTGCACATATGTGTTGATATGTTGAACACAAAGTAATTTAAACATGTGTGCTTAATATGTAACTCCACATGTGTTACACAATGTTATCAATAAAATAATTTACCTAAAGAATGAAACACATTATGTGTATTAATTTTCTTTATTCACATATGTAATTTTTAAATTGCACATATGTGCTGATATGTTGAACACAAAGTAATTTAAACATGTGTGTTCAATATATAACTCTACATATGTTACAAAATGTTATTAATAAAATAACTTGCCTAAAGAATGAAACACATCATGTGTATTAATTTTCTTCATTCTCATATGTAATTTTTAAATTGCACATATGTGCTGGTATGTTGAACATAAAATAATCTAAACATGTGTGTTCAATATGTAACTCTACATGTGTTACAAAATGTTATTAATAAAATAATTTACTTAAGGATGAAATACATCATGTGTATCAATTTTTCTCATTCACACATGTAACTCTTTTTAAATATTGCACACACATGTGCTACTATTTTATGCAAAATTTTAAAAATAAATAACCCCCTATGTTACAAGTTCACCTAAAAAAATAAATAAATAAATTTATAAAGTTTCGATCAGCATATAAATATAAAAAGTTAGGCAATAAAAATGAGAATACTTTGTTTCGCGATGCTTAACTAATTCCATTTCAACTTGAACCCCCAACCACCCCTTGTCGTGCTTGTTTGACGCGAATAAGTATTTCTGTTTTCCAGTGCCGTGCAAATATTTGTTGAAACGCGAAAGGGAACGGTACAAAGAGCAACCTTCGGAGAAATTTCATCGCGACCCCTTTTTTTTCCCTCGTTTTAAAACGTTGTCGCCGTTTATGCGCCGCTCAAAGCGACCCCCGACAATGTGAAACGAGACCATCGGCCCGTGAATCTAGCATCGCGACGCGATTTTGTCCAACGCTTTGTACCGTAGTTTTCCTTTTTATTTTCGATTAATCTTGTCACCGTCGATAAAGGTAATACGTAATTAAGTGCGCGTTAATGACGGGAATTGATAGAGTGGAATATTCTGACTAATTACGGTGACATGAAGGGTGAAGGGATTCGACATTTTTGTTGCGAAATTTTTGCTGAATTTTTATTCAAATTTCTACAACTAAAACGTGACTCATGTAAACTATTGATGTTCTAAATTTTCAAATGTTAAAATTCTCTAGTTCGAGAAATTCACTGGTTCCATAATTCCCTAGTTCCAAATTTCACTAGTTCTAAAATTTTTTAGTTCCAAAATTCCCTAGTTCCATGTTTCCAAATTTCCAAATTCACTAGTTCCAAAATTCCCAAGTTCCATGTTTCCAAATTTCCAAATTCACTAGTTTCAAAATTTCATAGTTCTAAATTTCACTAGTTTAAATTTCCCTATTTCCATATTACCAAATTTCCAAATTCCCTAGTTCCAGAAATTCACTGCTTCCATAATTCCCTAGTTTCAAAATTCCCTAATTCCATATTTCCAAATTTCCAAATTCACTAGTTCCACAATTCCCTAGTTCCACAATTTCCTAGTTCCATAACTTCCTAGTTCCAAAATTTCCAAATCCTAAAATTCCCTAGTTCCAGAAATTCACTGGTTCCATAATTCACTAGTTCCAAAATTCTTTAGTTCCAAGCTTTACTAATTCCAAAATTCCCTAGTTCTAAAATTTCTAGTTCCACAATTCCATAGTTCCATAATTTCCTAGTTCCAAAATTTCTAAATCTCAAAATTCTCTAATTCCAAAATTACCAAATATCAAAATTTCCTAACCCCAAATTTCCAAATCCCAAAATTCTGTAGTTTCAAAATTTCCAAATCTCAAAATTTACTAGTTCCAAAATTTCCAAATTCTAAAATTCCCTAAATTCAAAATTTCCAAATTTTTAAATTCCCTAGTTCCAAAATTATCAAATTCCAAAATTTCCAAATCCTAAATTTCTCTAGTTCCAAATTTCCAAATCTTAACATTTCATAATTTTCAAATGTTAAAATTCCCTAATTCAAAAATTTCCAAATAGCATTCTCGAAGTGTTTAAAAATCTGTCCGTGACGAATAGGTTAGAATTTAGTTAAATCCGTCGAAAGTTTGCACAGCGCTTCCGGCAAATGTCTCCCGCAATTATCCCGACGACAATGCTCGCGAGATCCGAAAAAACACGGTCGAAATTAAAATCTCACGCAAGGCTTAGAAGAGGCGTTTTTTTTCGGCTCCCCCGTCTGAGCCCGTCCGAGCTACGAAAACGAGAGAATAATTCGCGTTTCAGAAAACGAGCATCGAAAGAATAGGAAACGAGAAAGAGTAGAAAATAAAATAGAGGGAAATGAAAAATAAAAGGAAATAGAAGACGAGAAAGAATCCGTACGAAAAGCAGTCGACGAGTAGGCCTGTCTCGTTACTCGTTCCTACGTCTGGCGTTTTTGTCAGGTAAAAAAGTTCCTCGTGAAAAAGGAACCAATTTAATAAGGCCTTAATAACTCGGTTGGACGAAGGGGGAGGACGCAGACGGCTGCGTTTGACGGCTACACCCCTTCTACTTCCTTTTTCCATGAGAAGAGCAAATTCACGCTTCCTAGTTACTCCACTGCATTGGAACAATGATATTTGCTCGGCGAACACTCGCTGTGTAGACTTCAACTGTTCCATTATATCGATCTTCAAGACGTCAATGACGCGAACACGTGATATTCGGGAAGCAATTTGTACGAGCAGAAATTAGGCTGAATCTCTTGAGAATTCTAATTGTACGAATGTTCTACCCTCTTTATTACCCTTTTCTACCATCTACTATTTTATCGTTCTACGAATTCTATTACAAGAATTTAATACTCCATTTTCCTTTCATTATTCCTCTGCTTCTTTCGGAATATTTATATACAGTACATCGAAAAAGTAGCCACTTTTTAAGTTCAAGGAAAACTACCCTCTTCAAAATTTTTCTATTTAATAATCTATGGAATAGTAATAACGTAACCACCCCTATTTGAAATCGAGTAGCAAATTAAAATACAGAAAATGGCAAATAGATGTGATCGTAGAGAGGGCCAAAAGGAAGTGCCCAGCACGGTCAAAGTTTATCCCCCGAGTGGCTGTGATAGTCAATCCTCTTGATAATCGTGAAATGAAAAAAGCGTGTTGACGGCGAGTAAACAAACTGCCGTTAAAAAATCTCCGCTGGAAACGACGACATCGATCAACGCTTGTTTTTACGCTCGGGACTTTTCGACGACAGATTCCAAACGACACGAGTTGAAAATCGGCCCGTAAAAGGGCTGGACAAACTTTCTGCCGCCTCTTCAAAAAAAAAAAAAAAATCGACGAGCGCCGCTTCTCTTTCGTAAACCTTTTCGATCGGTCCCGTTAATTGTTTGTAAAAACAATCGTCCCGTTTTATTTTTCACGTGAATGAAACACGCTGCGAAAGCTAATAAATGAACGATCGAGAGCGTCACATCGTTTCAATTTTTGCCCGCGCTATGTTGAAAATCCGAGGGTTTTATAATCGACTTTCTGTTAGTTCCATCGGGAAAAACGTTCCGCTGGCAGAGATTTAAATTGCACGAATGATGGAGATTAATGAAAAACAAAAAAAAAAAATTGGTTCGAACGTTGCTGCGTCTACGAATCGCTTGGTGGCGAGGTTTTTTTTTCGCAACGATTGTTCGGATTTAATAAATGAAGGATTGATAACGCGATGGGGGGCAGAAATTTAGAGTGCGGGATTAAAAAATATATTGTGTTTGTTAATCGAATGTTGGAGTTCAAAGTTAAATGATTTTAACGTGCGGATGGGAGGCTGGGGACGTGGGAAATTGTGGATTGTGGAATTTGAGGATTTTAGGGGGATAAGATTTGGTATCGGAAGTGGTGGAGAATTGGGAATTTAGGGGAGTTGAAATTTAGGGATTTTGAGATTTGGAAGTTTAGGAACTAGGAAATTTGGAAATTTTGTTATTAGGAAATTTTGGGATTTTGAAGTTTGGGAAATAGGGAATTTTTCGATTTGGAATTTCAGGAATTTTGGAACTAGGGAATTTTGGGATTTGTAATTCTACAAATTTTGAAACTAGGGAATTATGGTATTTGAAAATATTGGAACTAGGGAATTATGGGATTTGGAAATTTTGGAATTAGGGAATGTACATATTTGGCAATTTTGGATCTAGGGAATTCTGGGATTTGGCAATTTTATATCTGGGGAATTTTGGTATTTAGAAATTTGGGAACTAGGAAATTTTCAGACTTGGAAATTTAGAAATTTGGGAAATTCGGAAACTAGGAAATTTTAAGATCTGAAAATTTGACAATCTAAAAATTTGAAAATGTCAGAATTTACCCCAAAACTTGCACTAATTCCCCAAACTCCCAAAACCCCCAAAAATCCCAAATATTCCTAT